TGTACTTTTAATCCTTCTTCGACCATAGACAACTGACAGTTAACTACAGACCCTACAGACCACACTGATAAAGACCGATAACATAAACTATGTCAAGACAAAATTCAAGATATGAGACAAAAGACACAGCCTTCGTTCGTTCGTCATTCAGACTCGACCGACTCGATTCTGCACATTCTGCACACCGGAATAGCACGTGTCTACGTCTTGTCACATCATCACATCCGATCACATCTCTACTTGGTGACATGACCGGACATGATGTCATGTCGCCTGATTTCTGAGTCTTTTTTTTATTTAACTCCAATAATTATACAATCTATCCATTCAATGTGGATAATAATTATATTTTGTGGTTAATTTACATATAGCAAAAGGAAAGAGAGTACTTGACGTGGTGAGCATATTCCAATGAACATGCTCAATACTTATTTTAACTGCTTAGTAATATGCAGTTAAGTGTTGTATTGTTCGAATCTGGTGAGCAAATCTGATGGTTTAAATCTGTTTAGCCTCCTGATTTCCCCTTCGTCGTCGAGTAGTTTTTGTGCCAAGTCGTTCGGATGGGCCTGGAGTCTGATTTTATACGTTTTGCTGTTTTTTTTTTATCCTCTCGTACTGTTGGTACATCTAGGTCATCTAGGTCCTTGTGTAGTACCGTGTTCGGCACATACCACGGTGCGTTAACTATTATTCGTAATACTTTGCTTTGAAATCGTTGGAGAATTTCTATGTTTGAGTTACTGGCTGATCCCCACAATGGTATCCCGTACGTTCATATCGGTTTGAGCATGGTTTTGTACAGTAAGATCTTGTTTTCTGTCGATAGCTCCGACTGTCTTCCCAGCATCCAATACATCTGTCGGAATTTTATTCCGAGTTGTTTTCTTTTGGTGTGAATGTGTTTTTCCCATGTCAATCGTTTATCCAGGTGTATACCAAAGTATTTGGCGTCTTCTGCTTGTGGTATCTGAGAGTGATTTAACGTTACTGGAGGACAGGTAGCGCGTTTCATGCTAAACGTTACATTTGTAGACTTATTTTCATTTGCCTTCATACGCCACTTTTTCAGCCAGTGTTGAATTTTATTTAGGTGGTCTTGTAAGTTCCTGGATGCGGATAGAGGATTGGTATGAGATGCCAAGATAGCTGTCATCCGCAAACGTGGCTGTTGTTGTCTTTTTAATTGTTGGTAGATCTGATGTGTAGAAATATAGCACTGGTCCTAAAACGCTACCTTGGGGTACGCCAGATGATATTGGGTATAGGTTTGTTAATGCCTCCTGTTGCTTTAAAAAGTAGTATCTATGTGTAAGATAGGATCTCAGAATTGCGTACATTTGATGCGGAAGTTTCTGTTTCATTTTGTAACATAGTCCTGCGTGCCAGACCTTGTCAAAGGCCTGTTCTATGTCAAGGAACACCGCTGTGCAGTAACGTTTTGTTTCGAGATCTCTGTTTATTTTTTTGACTAGACTATGGACTTGTTCCGTAGTTGCGTGCTTGTTTCTAAATCCAAATTGGTGTTTGGAAATTATGTTTTGATCTTCTATCACTGGTTTTATTCTTTTCAGTAGTAGTTTTTCTAGTACCTTGGATAGTACTGGTATCAGACTTATTGGTCTGTAGGATGTTACTTCTTTCGTGTTTTTCCCAGGTTTTGGCAGCATAATTATTTGTGATATTTTCCATTGTATTGGGTAGTATTCTACTCTTAACACTGCGTTGAATATGTGTGTAATTTTTTGGATGCATTTTTCTGGTAATTCTTCCAATATCTTTCCCGTGATTAAGTCGAATCCAGGAGCTTTTTTTCTGTTTGATTTCTTTTTTGATGACTGTTTCCACTTCTCTATATTTGAAGTTTCGCATTGGTAGGTTCATCTGATAGGGTGCATCTAGGAAGTTGTTGATTTCGTATTCTTCTTCTTGTGTGGTCTCAGTGTCGAAAGGTTTGAAGACCTTGGAGAGGTGTTTGGCGAATGCTGCGGCCTTCCCTTGATTGCTTCTTGCCCAGTTGCCTTCGTCCGTTTTTATTGGTGGTGCTGGCACCTGAGGTCTTTTCAGTCTCCTCGTTGCTTTATAGAGTGAGTAATCGGTAGTTTCTGTCGCAGTTAATCCCTTTAGGTACTCCTGGATGGCTTCATTTTTTAGTTTTTGTAGTAATTTTCTTAATTCTTTGGTTTTTTTATTGTAGATGCTCTTGTCAGATTCTGTTCTGGTAGTCTGCCATCGTTTTCGTGCTCTTCTCTTTTCTGCGATTTTTTGTTTAACAATAATTGGGCTGTTCTTTTTTATTCCCTTGTCATTTCGATCTGGTGTGGCTTGCCATGCTGCTAGTTGGATTGCCTTGGTTAATCTTTCTACTTCGTCATCTATGTCAGCTTCTGTTTTTAGGGGGGTCTCCAGTGTGACTATTTTATCTAATGTTTCCCGAAACAAATTCCAGTTCGTATTCTTGCTATGTAGGGAAGGTTCTTTCGGTTTTTCTAGTATTTGGGCGTACATGGTGACTATGATTGGGGTATGATCAGACGTGAGATCTAGGCTTGATTCCACTAGGAATTTTTTTGTGTTAAGTCCTTTGGTAACACAAAAGTCTAGTATGTCCGGAGTCTTTCTGCTGTCTGTTGGCCAGTATGTGGGTTGTCCTGTTGTTAAGTAGCTTAAGTTGTTGCTGTTCATGGTAGCAAGTAATTCTCTTCCTTTTGAGTTTGTGAGTCTGGAACCCCATTGTACGTTTTTTGAATTAAAGTCTCCTCCCACCAGGAAATTGTTGCCCAAAGTTTTAAAGAAATGTTCAAAGTCTTTGTGTTTGTTATTATGCTTTGGCGGGCAGTAGATCGAGGAGATTGTTATTTCGCTTGAATGTTCCTGTACGACTACGCTAGTAGCTTGTATATTTTCTTGTTTGTATCCTTCTTTCTCATAATGCTTGATATTGTTTCTGATCATTACTGCTGTGCCTGCGTGTGCTGTCCCATCAGGGTGATTTGTGTGATATATGTTAAAATTTGGTATTTTTATGTAACTTTTGTTTGTAAAATGTGTTTCTGAGATTAGCATTATGTCTATGTTATTATGTAGTAGGAATATTTTGATTTCTTGTACGTGTTGAGTCAATCCATTGGCGTTCCAGATTCCTATTTTTAGTACTTCAGCTATTGTGAGGATTTGTTGACCAGAGTTGCTATTAGATTTATTAATGTCCCCATTTGATCCATTAGATTTTTCATCATTTGTTTTAATTCAGCTAGGTCATTAGCTGGTTGTGGTGGTGTAGTTGATTTTGTCTGACCTTCATGTTGGACTGGGTGTACGATCTTGGGTTTCATGATCTGTGCATATGATATGCCCGGTTGTGTGACGTCTGTATCCGTTTTTCTCTCTCGTAGTGTTGGGTAAATTTTTTGTTGTATTTGTTTGTGTATTATGCATCCTCGATAGTTAGCTGGGTGATGTTCCTTGCAGTTGACGCATATGACCTCTTCATCTCTTGTTTTTCTAGGGCAGTCTTTGGTTAGATGGTTCCTAGCACATTTAACACAACGTGGGTTGTTATGACAATAATTTCTTGTGTGCCCGTACTTCTGGCACCTCATGCATTGCGGGATTTCTCGTTTGATGTGTGGTGCCTCGAATTGCACGCACGTATTCATTAGTAGTTTTACTTTGTATATTTCTTTGTTATTATCTTGTGCCTTGAGGTCAACAAAGAACAGTGGTAGTTGGACGTTAGTATTCCTTTGCTTTACATTCCAGATGTTTATGACCATATGTCCTTTTTCTGCTAAGCTGTTGCTTATTTCTTTTAGGTCAGTTGTTGGATGCATGTTTTTCAAGACTACTCTAAAGGTTTTGTCTTTCTTAGGTTTATACGTATGAAATTCCGTATTTTTTTTTTCCATTAGAGCTTTGAGAATTGTGCTATACACGTCGCTCTTCAGTGGTTGTATTTTCACCTGATTATGTCTTAATATTTTTGTAGTGTAGTTATCTTTTGCTAGTTCGTCTAACAGTTGGATCAATGGTTTTATGTTTTTTACGCCTGCTACAAATATGGGTGGTGGTTTTGGCTCCTTTTTTGCGATATCTACTGTTGTTTCCATTTCTTCCTCAGAGAGTCCTTCATATCTATTATTAGTTGTTGTTGGGTTGTCTAGCCAATAAACCTGTTTCTTCTTTTGATGTTGATTTTCTCCATGCTCTTCGTTGTTTCTGTTTCTTTTTCTGTTATAGGTGATCGTATGCCATTCATTTTGGGAGTGCCTTGGTAGTGGTGGATAATCTTCATGCGATAATTGCTTTGGATTGAACATTTGTGTGGTATTCGTCGGTTGACTATAGTATGTTGCGGTACTATGTATTTGATGTTGTTGATTTGTGACTGGTTGTGTCAAGGAGGGTGATGATATATACATGTATGATG